GATAGTCTTGTATTATTGATATTGTATTGTAAATAAAGAATACTCTTTGCTTTAATATAATCTTTCTAATGAATCGCTTTTGTGAAGTAATATTCTGCTTTGATACTATTGAGAGTTCCTCTTCTGTATTTTATATTACTTGTGATATACTAAGAAAGCTATACTACTTGTAATAATATAAATAGTATTTTAAAATATTGATTAATTAATGAATTTTTATATATACTAATTTTATCTTGAATTTTTTGTTTATCAATTACTAAATAAACAATATCATGTAATAATAAATTGATTGATTAATTAGTCATCAATTAGTTATATTATAGAGTAAAAAGTAAAATATATATATATAAATAAATAGAAACTAGTATTTTAATTTGAATCAGAAATTTCAAAATTTTTTAAAAAAGGTCTGGTAATCTTAGTGTAGTAGTTAGGTTGCTGAACTGCTATGCAAGAAGTCTAGAGTTCAAATCCTACTGTTAACAGAATTGAATAATTACCTAGATATCTGTATCTAACTTACAGTAAACTCTGCTCATTTTTGGAGTTGTAACTTTGTAAATCATATTGTACTAATGCTAATTAGGGTATTGAAAGCGTAACAGAGCATTTAAGAGAGTATAACATTACATGAATAAATCTTGATAGGATCTATGAGCAGGAAACCTACATAGTAAAAATTCTGAGTTAGATGAAGTAGTACAGATTTTAATAGTCATACTAGTTAATATTTGATCTAGAAAAGAAAATCTGCATACAAAAAGATTAGCAACTAGAATGTGAGTAAGTCCATTAGAAAACCTGTGTACAAAAAGATCAGTGGAATAGATGCATATAAGTCTATTACATAGGGTCATATAGCAATACCAACCTGGCTTAGTAGCTAATTAGATTTGGAGGATCTGTTCTGTGTGATATTTGGAGGCATAGATGACTTTCAGCAACACCAATCTAGATAGTAACCAGACTTGGAAGGATCTATCTCATATGATATTTGGAGGCACAGATGACTAACTCAGTGGAAAGCCACAGTAGGAACTAGATTTGAACAAACATTAAACAAGGGTATATGCAAGCTAGATTAGAATATAGTGTAGTATATTTGGGTACTACAATATCTAGTAATTAGGAAATTGGTGAAAGAGTACCTAAGATAGGTCTAGACTTCAAATCTTAAAGTTTGTGGATATATATCAGCTCTGTTGATATCTTTTAAAAGATGAAGTAGTATAGGGTTAGGTGAATATTAAGTAATAAATAATAGCGAGATAGGAATAATATATAGCTAGAGAGTTTAAATAGAGAATTTTCAAATAAATTTTAGATATAGCAGCTAGTGTAGAACCTTCAAGCAGACTACTTAAATTAGACAATCTAAAGTTGTATGTATGGTTAGTTGTACTCTCACATATATAATCATTATTTAAAAACTATTATACCAATAAAAATCTTACTGATAGTATATTGTATAAAGTAAAAAAAAAAAAAAAAAAAAAAAAAAAAAAATTTTTTTAAAAATGTTGAAAAGGTTTTCTATAATTATTCTTAAATACTTATTTTGAACTAATTTCTTAAATAAACAAAATAAATACTAATTATTTTTTTTAAACCAAAATTTTTTTTTCTTTTTATATATTTTAGATTATTAGTATTTATTTCACTTTTAATACTTTTAATATGTAAAGTCTAGTGATCTTAATATAGTATTAGATTATCAAACTACTATATAAAAGGTCTAGAGTTCAAATCTCACTGTTGATAAATTTGAATAATTACTTAAATCTTTGTACCCAACTTATAGTAAACTCTGTTTGTTTCTAAAGTTGTAACTCTGTAAATCATGTTATATCAATATTATTCAAATATTAGAAGTGTAATGAAGTATTTAAAGAGATATAATATTATACGAATAAATCTTAATAGGATCTATAAGCAGGAGACCTGTATAATAGAAATTCTGAGTTAGTGAAGTAGTATAGCTTTTAACAGTTATATTAGCTAATACTTGATTCGAAAAAGAAACTGTTACTCTGAAAATATAAACTAAGTTAAATATGAGTAAGTTCAGTTCATAAGAAGAATTAGTAATACTAACCTAGCTTGGCAGCTAACTAGAATTAGGAGGATCTATCTCATGAAATATCTGAAGAGATTAGCAAATATAAAACTAGTAGAGAGCTACAGTAGAAACTGAGGTTATACAAATATCTACAAGGATCTAAGCTAGAAGAATTCATAAAATGAGTACAGACTACTCTAGTAGGTATACTTTAAAGTTAACTGGTTTTGCAGATACTTACAATATATTGAATACAAATGTAACTCAAGAGAACCTAAGCTGATATCAATAAATGAATTTGTAACAAGCTAGCTAGTTTAAGCAATTAGGTATTATAGTAATATTAGTTTATAATAGTATGAGTTAGTTGAATAGAGTGTTTAAATAGGTAATTCATAGATGAGTTATAGGTATAGTAGCATAGTATAGAACTAATTAGGTAGTTAAATATCTATGCAGTGAATTACTTAAATAGACAATAACTAAAGTTGCATATATAGATAGAGGTGAAATTGTAGAAATTATTATTAATTTCTACTGTAGAAATTGTTGAAATTACTTTTTTTAAATTTGAATTACTACAATTAATTTTAGTTGTAGAAAATATTTAAATTGTAGAAAATATTTAAATTGTAGAAATTCTTAAAATTATAGAAATTATTTAAATTATAGAAATTATTTAAAATATAAAAATTATTTAAAATATAAAGTTAAAGAATTGTTATTGCTATCTCTTATTTTTGCTAATACTATTTCTTTAAATATAAAAAAAGTATTCTGAAAAAAATATAATTATTAAGTAAACCTCTTTTTTAGTATTAATTAAAGTTGTTTATTAGAGTTTTCTAGTTCTAATAGTAGTAAAATTATTAAAATCAGACTAGTAGTTATTTTTTAAAGTAAATTAAAAATTGTAAAATTTAGATATAAATATTTTAAAAACTATAAGTCTAACTTTAATAATTTTACTACTATTAGAACTAAAAAGATCTAATAAACAACTTTAATAATTATATCTCTTCTAAAATACTTTTTTGTATCTAGAAGATAGTATTAGCAAAAATAGAAAGTAGTAATAACAATTCTTTAAATTTATTTAATTTTATATTTTTGAATATTTAAAAAAATTTTATATAATATATATTTGTAAAATTATAAGAAGAAAACTTGCAACAAGTTAAAAACTTCTTATAAAATATATTAAAAAAGATAGAAAAAAGTAAAAAAATATATTCTACTTTTAAGTAAAAAAATAACAAATATAAAACCTATAATAATAATAAAAAATAAATATAAATAATAAAAATAAATATAAAAATAAATATAAAATAAATAAAAAATAAATAAAATACTAAATAAAATATAAAACTAATAAATTAATTTTATATTAATTTTCTGTAATTATATTTAGTAATCTATTTCGTATTTCTGTTCCTTGATTAATAAGTAAATCAATATTAAAATCTTTTTCACCATGATCAATAATTTCTTCAGAAATTACAAGTTGATTTGTATTATTTGAAGCATATTCTAAATGAATACTTTCTTCAATATTTAATATTTCAGTATCAATATTAGTTAAATCTAAATCATCATCTATTTCATCATCAGAATCATCCTCACTTAACTGAATATCCTCTTCAAACAATGCAGTATCTGAAGAAAGTGAATAACTATAATCTTGCATTAGTTTTAAAAAATCATTTTCTGAAATATTTTGTCCAACATAATTAAGTTCATGATGTGCATTAGTAACATAATATGTATGTAATTTAGCCATATTTGAAACTTTTTTTATAGTTAATCTTAAATAAAATAATAATTAATATATAAAATTATTAATAAAACAAATTAAATAAATATAAATACCTATTTCGACGTTTTTGAGTAAACCAATTTAAAATTGAAAAAACACGTTCATATCCTGCACTATGTGGAATAATAGCAAGAAGTAATAATGCAAGTTTTTGAAGATGATGATGTAGTAATTTACATGTAGCCCACCAAGTTTCAGGAAGTTCAAGATGATCTTGAAAAAGAGAATCATATGGAGGTTTTTGAAGATCATAATTATGAATTTGTGCAATTAATTCACGTGCACTATTTTTTCCACTACCTTGTGATTTCCAAATACTTAAAGCTTTTCGAAGAATTTTTTAAAATATTTCAGAAGTTAAACCTTTGCTATGATACTTTGGATGAAGAAAGTATACTAAAAGATAAAAATCAGTATCAAATTCAGACCATCTCTTATTAAAAAAGCCAATACAATTTTTTCTAAATTCAAGTCTTGTAAGAGTTGTTTCAGTAGTTGGCATAGATTTAATTGTATTAGCCATTTTAATTAAAACTAAAAATATATCAGCAAATTTAATATTTGATGATTCAACAGTTTTTACTGCAATTTTGATAGGTTCAAGAATATTACAAAAACATTCAACATTAGTCCAAAAATCTCGACTTGTAATATAATTTCTTAACTTTTCATTAAGTGCTAAAGAATTATTTTCTACAATCTAAAAAATAAAAATACTGTATTTATTAGTAAATATATAAATAAATAAATAATTTAAATACTTACTTCTCGTAAAACAGATTCTAATCTTAAAATTGAATTACAACAATCCCAAGCAGAACTCCATCTAGTTTTTACAGCTGATTTTAAACCTCCACCTTTAACAAATAAATTTTTAATTTCATCTCTTAATATAGCACCAGACTTATGTGAATTTTGAAAATAAGTAACAAATTCTTGACATTTTGAAAGAATTTGAGATCCAAAAGAAGTTTTTTAAATAATATCTATGGCTAATAATTGAATATGATGAGCAATACAACGTACAGAAATAATATGAGGATATTTTTGAGTAATTAGAGTTTTGGCAAGCTGAATTGCTTTAGCACCATCAGAAACAACAGCTCCAAATTTTTTTGAACCAATTTCTTCAATAATTTTAGAAATTTCATTTGATAAAAAAACTCCAGTATGTGAATAAGAAGAAAAATCTTGAACAGAATGAACATATTGTTGTCTATTTGGTGTAATAATAACAAAAGCATAATAAGAATGATGTGATCTACTTGTCCAACCATCAAGAACTAATTTTTTAAAAAAAATAAAATTTAGTAAATATTAAATATTTATTATTTAAATATAAACTTATCTAAAGTTAAATTATCAAGTTGCTTAAGTTGCTCACTAATATCTACAGTAATTCGTGCAATTTCTTGATCAACCCAAAGATTACTTAAAGTTTTTCGATCAGGAGGTTTATAACTTACATTAAGATTTTTAAGTAAATCAATAAAAAAAGGACTTTCAATAACCCAAAAAGGAATTCCACAACAAATAAAAAATCTAGTTAAAGCTTTGTTAATAAGTTGTTCTTGACCTTGATCAATAGAAATTAACTGAAATTTATCAGTAATTTTTGGTTGATTTTTAGTTCCAATTTCAATAATTTTCTTTCTTTTCTTCATTTTAGAATTTATTAAAACAAGCAAATATTTTTGCTTAATATCTCCTAGTACATTTTCATATTCTAATGCCAAATGAGACTTCATTTCACTAGGCCGTTCTCGTGAAGTAATTTCATTACAATATTTATATTTTATTGCTACATGCCCATATTTATCTCTAATTCCAAGTTTAATAAATTCATTAATTACAGAATCTTCGGGTCTACCAACTGCTTTTTTTGTTCTTTTTCTTTTTTGATTATCATTATTTTGACTATCTTTACTTAAACTTTTATTATTAGAATCTTCAGAACTATCAACTGATCTTTGTGCTGATTTATATTTTTTTCTTTTTTTACTTTTAATATTACTATTCTCATTACTCATTTCATCGATTTCACTAAAGTTTTGACTATCTTCAATATCTTCATCTTGACTAACAAAATTTTTTAAAGTAGTTTGAGACATTAGCGCTAGAAAAATTTTTAAAATTTTTAAAATTTTAAAAAAAATAATAATTCTATTTATTTTTATATTTCGAATATAATAACACAGCAATTTATTTAACCTGTTATACAATTTGTCTTATGTAAAAAATCTTAAATATTATTAGCAT